AGAGCAAAGGAGTAAAAATGAAAACAATATTTGCTAGGATATACTCAATCCGTTTAAAAATGTAAAATATTTTAATTAAATCTTACCCTCAATAAAGTAATTATTTATTTTTCAACTAACATTAGCTTTTCATATTTATCCCTATTAAACACTCTATAATAAATATAAAATTATTATTAATAGGAATATTTAAAAAAAAATAATGATTATATTTCGAGAAACTAAAAATATTTTATATTTTTAATAAAAGAAATATTATAAATAAAATTTAAACAAATATTTTTTTATATCTCATAAATAGCACAAGGGGACGTACATCGGAGTAACTTCTTTAATCTTTACGTATTAGTGAGGCAATGAAAGGGACGCATTCAGGTCAAAAAAAAAAAAAAAGGGATGCATAAATTTTTGTGCGCTGCGGTTGGAATGTTTTGGAAGGTAGCGCTTTCCATTACGAACGGACAGGTAAAAACGGAGGACTCCCCCACGCTGACAGCTGTCAATTTCTTTTACATACACATATTATATGATTTTTTGTATATTTATATTTATTTTTTTTACTGTTTACCCCTCTCCTAACAAAGGGTTACATGAATGAGTCACTCCTATTAGATCTAAATTTTTTATTATTTTTTTATTTAAAAATATAAAATATTTTTAATTAAATTTTATTCTTAATAAAATAATTACCTACTTTATAATTAATTTTTATATTTATTTTTATTAAAATACCCTACAATAAATATAAAATTATTATTAATATGGGCACTTTTAAAAAAGGCAATAATTACATCTTAAAAAATTAAAAATACCTTATATTTTTAATATCAAACTCTTCAAAAAATATTTATATTTTTAAATAGAGAGAATATATATTTATGTATTTTATTGAACCAAAGAGTAGCATTTTCTACCCTCTATCAAAGAATACTACTCTGTTTTTTTATATAAAGAAACTATTATTTTTTTTATGTTTTTATTTATAAGTAAAATTATAAATTTTAAGAATCATTTATCACGTGTTTTCTATATTGTCCCTCATGAAATTAATATTTATTTTCACTATATAAATTTATTTTATTAATTACAGAAATAATTTATTATAGTTTTAAAATTATTAAATATAATTATTATACTAATTAACTTTTAAAATTAGGTGAGTTGGTTATTTTATTAGAAGAATAAAAGGCATAATTCATTATAGCGCAGAAATGAATAAGTTGACATTAAATGTGGGTTATATTGGATGGAATTGATATGGATTGTGATGAGTGATCAGTTAAAAATTTAAAATACTCCACCCAACCACCCATTTGCCTTTTCCTTCTTTTATTGCTATTTCATGCATCTCCCTCATCATATGATTGCGAAACTTTTAGTCATTTTTCTATTCAATCTTTAAACCTTTATTAATAATTTAATTGTTGTTAATTTTTTAATCAAGATAAATCAGTCTTTATATTTTTTAACTCAAAAAAATTTATTTTTATAATTTTTTAATTCAATAAATCATAAGAATATAATTGTTTTCAATTAAAATTTAAGAATTAAATCAATCATTTAAAAAAATTTAGGAAATAAAAATTTTTTTCCTTGTTATTTTTAAAATTTTGAAATTTCAAAATTCCTTCAACGTTTTCGAAAGTTGTCAGGCAATTGAGCAATATCAAGATCATTTAGTAATGACTTTAAGAAGAACACCTAATAATTCTGCAACGTATAATTTATATATTGGGCTCTACTATTAGTTGATTTAAAAAATTATTTTATTTTTTAAAATTTATGTTTTTAACTAGGAATAAGGGTTAAATATTTTAAAATTTTAAAACATATTTAATGAGTTAACAATCTATTTATTCTTATAAAGTGGTTAAAAGTGACTTATAATAAAGATAGAATGAATTAATAAAATATCCTGTGGATCCATGATTTACATGGACCTTGAGGTAAATTACACCCCATCTTTTATTCTAGTTTGATTTCATATAAATTATATATTATTAAATTAAACTCACAATGAAGATTTTTAAGTTAACCTTTTTAAATTAGACTATGGTTCATATGCTTGGAATGAAATTTGAAATAAATCATATTCATCAAAAATTTATGAGTAATACCGTTTTCTATTGATTGACATTGTTAATTTTTTTTTTGGATGAAGACATGGTTAATTATAAAAGCCAAAACATCATATGTTATGTATAAAATTAAAATAAAATATAACAAGTAATAACTACGCACTCCTTGATTGATACGCTTATAGAATGGAGGTAAAAGTCATTTTGTCTTCTTCTCTTTTTGATTTTGAGAAAAAGATCAACTTATATTAACAAAAAAAGAAAAAAAGAAAAATGAGACAAAGTCAATAAGTCAAAGTAATAACAAAAGACTTTACTCCACTTGATTCTATCAGAGGTCTCAGAGAAAAAAAAAAATAGAGTCTCTAAGATTATTTTAGTGGAATTAACATCATATAAAGACTTAGTTAGGGTCATGTTCCATTTAGCAATTTTCCAAGGGTTTGGACTTGGAATGATGAGATCAGAAATTATAAAAATCACCCATTTTTGTTGAGCATTTGAATTTGATATTTTCCACTACAACTCGTGTGAGATAGAGATAGATTCTCTATTTGTAACTTGCTAATGTAAGTTATTCTTGATGAGATTGATAGATTTTAATATTACTTTTCAAAATTAAGAAGCATTCAGATAAAGTTTAATGGAGTAGCCATCTCTTTGATTCGGATATTTGAGTTTGACAATGTTTCATTAGAGTGAATATCCTTTAGCTGAGATTACCCTCCAAATTTGTTTAGCCAAAAGCACCAAATTCATATTTTTAATGTTTCTCAAACCCAATCCACCATCTTTGACTAAGCTCAATAGTAGATATTTTTAGCAAGATGTATGTATTTCTTTCCTTCACCTGAGCCCTAAAAAGAATCCACTTGTTTAGCATCAATAGTATTGCAAAAGTGCTGTGGTAAATCGACACAATAAAGAATAAAGATATTAGAACCAAAAAGCATAGATTTATTAGGGTGCGTCTAGAGGCAAAGTAATTCAGCCTTCCAAGAGGAGATTCTTTTATCAATAGAATCCATGATGTGTTCATGAATTTTGGATTCATCCTTTTTTGCATCAATCCAGGTACCAAGGTCCTTCCCAAAGGATGAAAGCTAGATTCTAAGATCATTTGAAATTTACTGCTTGAAACTGAAATGGCAAAAAAATGCGTATAAAATGATGTTATTTACTTAATTTACTTGTCACTTTCTTTTATATTCTTTTATTAAACGAGATATTAGGTTAATCAAAATTATAAACTAAAATAGCACCAACATAACAAGCTAGTAAAAATTTTGACTCTCTCTAAGAAGCAATATAGGATGTGAGAGTTTTCTTTTAAAATACAAAACAAACACCTATCAACAGGACCAAATCAAATTTGAACAATTCCTTTTCTTGTAACTTTTTTTTTTAATTATTCAAGATATCTGCACAGTCGACAATCATAAAACTAATTTTTTAAAAAGTTTAAATGTTATTCAAAATATTATATTTTGATTGGTGCGGTAAGAAGAAGGGGCTTTTTGGCTTTAGGAATGCACCAACTTATTTAGGTTCAACAAAAGAGAAATGTGAGCTTTATACATATACTAAATCATTAATTCCTCGGTCAGTGATCACTAAATTGCGCTTTCACTCAAAAAAAAAAAAAAAAAAACTTGCCCATGACTCTCTAGTTTGGTCTTCTTCTTCTTCTTCTTTGATAACATCTAGTTTGTTAATCTTCAATTCTTAATACACTCCCAAATTTATCATTTTAATTGGTATTATTATTATTTTTTGTTAATGCCTTTTTCTGATAACTTGAAATTGATGCTCTCTTTATTAAAAAATGTAAGATATTTTTGAGAAATTGAATGTTAAAAAATGTAAGGCAGTTTTAGTATTTTGAAATACAATTATTACTTTTTTTTTCAAAAGTACCCCAATTAATAATGACTTTATATTTATTATAGAGTATTTTATAAAAATAAATATAAAAATATAGGATTACTTAAAAAGTAAGTAATTGCTTTATTGAGGGGTGAGATTCGATTAAAAATACTTTATATTTTTAAATGAAAAGAGTATTTTCATAATTTTGTTGTTTCAGGAAGTAACTATCCAATTCGCAATATTAAAATGCAATTGTCTTTATTTTTTTATTAAAAAATAAAATTTATTTTATACACAAACATATTTTTCAATAAAAATAAATGGGTAAAATATTTTTTTTTGATAATCAATACACATGAAAATATCTCCTTGATAAAGTATTTTGAAAAATCAGCCTAATACATTCTTTTAATTTTTAAATATTTGAATACCTTCAATTTAATGGATGTAATTTTCTTTTGGGATAAAATTGATGTAAATTTAACCAAGAATTCATATTTAGACTATTAAAATTTTAATTTACAAAATTTTAGTTAATCTACTTTAAAATGAAACAAATTTAAACCATTCAAATTCAAATTATATAAAGATGATTAACATTTAAACGAATGAGAAATTCTTAGATATATTCAACGTAGATCCATCTAATAAAAATATAATATTTAAATAATATTAAATATAAATTAATTTTAATATTAATGATAATAAAAAAATAAAAAAATTAAATATATATTTTATTATAAAAATAAAGTTATCGTAAAACAAATGATACACAAAATTTTATTTAATTAAATTAGCATAAATTTATTGAATGAATTATGAATCATGTGAATTGAGTCTATCTACAAACATTTCTGATTCAATTTATTGGTAAGAGATCAAGATTATAGTTGATACATGCCTGTTGTAAATCAAATACTATATTTTACTTTGATTGATTGATCTAAATATTTTAATACTTCACTTCTTTTGTTCACCATTACCATTGTCATTCATCAAAACTAAAAAGCGTTTATACAGCAACCAAACAATTTTCCGTTTCACTTTCGTCCTCTCTCTCTCTCTCTCACACACACAAACATACACCCCTTCACTGCCTTCCTGTCTTTTTTCCTCTTTCCCACACAGGTCCATCTCCAGACTCCAGTGGCCATCTAGGCATCTACAACTCTAGAGACTTATCTCCTCTCTCTCTCTCTCTCTCTGAGTCTCAGAACTCAGATTGTTCATTTTCTCTCATAGGATTGTTTCTAAGCCTTTGGTGTTTACCCCAACACAGCCTATTCTTCAATCGTTTATTCGTTTGCATCCTTACCCTCCTCAGTTCTTCGCTCCAAATATTGAAATCACCAGAAAGCACCTTCCTTTTTTCTTTTCACGCCCATCCATCGTTCTCGTCGTCTTCCTGAACCATCATCCTCCAGATTTACCTGAAATGCAGGCTGTTTGGGGACTGTTTGGCCTCTGATTCTTCATTCAGCGCCTACCCTTTGGTGCTTCCATTACACTCCACTGATAAGCAGTTATGATTTTCTTGAAGATTATTGGCTTCCAAACGATGTTGAAATTTGGAGTTTCTACTATTTCTGGGTATCATTGCTGTCGGTTTTGAGGTGCTTGTGTGTTGGGCTTCAGCAAAATACTTTAGGGCTTTCATCTGAAACCCAGTCCTGCAATTATCAGGTATTTAGCGAGTGTGTGGAGGATCTTGCTTCTACATCTGTGTTATTTTGCTTGATTTTAAATTCAGAATCTCGATATTCACTGGTTTCTTTTGGACCGTTTGGACTTGAGGAGGAAGATAAAGGGTTTATTATCTCGCATTAAGCCTGTTTTTGACCCAATTATTGCATAATGGCGAAGAATAAGGGAGGGTTTTGATTTTGTTGAGGAATGAAATGCCCAGAAGATTCCCAAGTTTTTTAGTCTTTGGCATTGCCTTTGAGAGCTTCTTTTAAAAGGATTCTATTTCTGAAAGCAAAAGCTAGTTGTGAAAGGAAACAAGAGCTGTAACGGTTGAAACCTTCAAAGCTGCTTTAATAGTCTCTGGGTAGAATATTTCTCTTTACCCACTGTCCGTTTTTTGTTATTTTTTCATTTATTAGAGGAAAACGTGCCTGCCAATTACAGAGTTTGAAGCGTCCTGGAACAAATTTATTGCATATCATCACTTGGCTGTTCCGTTATAATTCTCTGAGATTTGAGGCTCTCAAATATAATATTGGGTTTGACATAGCTGGGTACCTCCAAAGTGATAGCTAGCTACAAATTGAGCTGAATTGCCAAAATAATCAAAGCATCGATGGGACTTCATCGAAGTCTCGCGATGCATGTGCTTGTTCTGATGCTGTACTTTGAAAAATTTCCTTATGTGAAAACTCAGTCTACTGTTACAAATGGATCTTCAAGAAGCGAAGCAAGAGCCCTAGATTCACTCCTTCAAGACTATGCTTACAGGGCTTTGGTCAGACCAATGACAGGTAAAATTTATGATGGGACTGTACCTTCCAATTTGACTGGAATTAATATTGCAGCATTGAGGCTGAGGAGTGGCAGTTTAAGGAGAAAGGGTGTTGCAAAGTACAAAGAGTTTGAAATCCCCAAGGGACTTATAGAGACTCCATATGTAATAAGACTTGTTTTGGTGTACCAAAATTTGGGCAATTGGTCAAGAAGGTACTATCAGACTCAGTTGCCAAATTATACTTTCTTGGCTCCAGTGCTGGGGCTTCTTGCTTATGATGGAACTGATTTGTCTGCTACAAACCTCCAAGAACTGAATATAACTGCGTCTGGTGACCCCATTTCAATTAAGTTTGATGGTGTAAGTCCGGCTCCTGATGGCGCTGTTGCAAGATGTGTCTTGTTTGACCTACAGGGATCATTCAATTTCAGCAGTGTCACAGAAGCCAACACATGTTCAACTTCCCAACAGGGACATTTCTCTATTGTGACTGAGTCCATTGCTCCTTCTCCATCGCCTCCACCCAGTCCTGGTGCTCCAATAGCACCCCCGGCTCCTAGTGAGCGAGCAGGGAAGAAGAGTAACAAAAAATTGTGGATTATTGTTGGGTCTGTTGTGGGTGGACTAGCCTTTCTGGTGTTGTTGTCATTACTGGTTTTGTGGGTGCAGAAGTTCAAGCAAAAGAAGAGAAGGCAGCAGATGGAAAAAGAAGCAGAGGTTGGAGAAGCTCTTCAAATGGCCCCGGTTGGGGATACGAAAGCTCCCACCGCATTGGGTACTCGAACACAGCCAACACTCGAACATGAATATGCGCCATGAGAATACTACTTTTGCAGAATCTTGGGATGTTCTTCCTCTGTATTCAGGAATTCTTCTGATCTCACTCACACCTTTTTTTGGTGGTGTTGTGTTTCTTTTTATTTTCCCCCTCTCATCGTTTGCTTAGGCTCCTGGGTTTATAAATTGTTGGTAATATAGGATTTTTATGTATATCTGCTATCTCTTTGTTGATTCATTGTGGTGTGAATGTAGCGGCAAGCAACTCAAAGTGATTCTATATGTGATGATTCAGTTGTTCCATTGACAGAATAAAAAAAAAATGTAGCTTCTACATTTTGATCATATATTTTAGTTGTCTTCTGCTTTCTGTTCACTCATTTATGATTTAAGGGGGGACCAAAGCTCTGAGGGCCATAACTTCGTCTCTGAGAAATCTTTCAAGTTCTCTGCATTGGTAATGATATATAATATTTCCGGCTATTGAATGAGTTTTGTGTGGAAGATGCTGCATTTACCATCAAATGTTAGTCCCAGTGGTGAGGATTTAGTCCATAATTCATAAGATTGTAAGTTCAAATTCCATTGTCAATCTGAAGATTTTGTTGGTGGGTATTTTGTAAGTTCACTGAGTCTGGATTCACCAACTCACTTAAATTTTTGCTTATGAAAAAAAGAAGGATGCTGCATTTAGGATAATTGAAAGCGGGGAAGGAAGGGGAATTGAGAATAAATTGAAGTGTTGTAATAATTTGAGCAATAATTGCTGATTAATCCTTAGTCTTTTTGTGATTTGTTTTTAAGCACACAAGTGGGCACAGGAAAGTACAGAGATGACAGATATATACCAAGTCCTTCTGCTGGCGTTTATGTGGGACCATCTTCTCCTGAAAGGGATATTGGAACCTAAGTCTAGTCTGGAGGACAGGGTGTAAATCCTCATAATTTCAAGAGCATCTATTTCAATCCAGAACTTTCACAGTTCAATTGTATTAATGCACCTGAAGAGCAAAAGAGAAATAAATAAATAAAAGAAATAAATAAATAAATAAATAGTATAAAAAGAGGAAGCCCAGTGGGAGAATGTTGAAGATTGAGATGGGAAAGGTGGAAGGAACAATTCCTAGTCCTATAAAAAGGAAAGAGTAGGGGAAGATAAAAAAGAGAATAGTAAATGAAATTGCTAAAAGAATCTTATGATTAACAATATTTTTCGATATTTGGTTGTTAATAAAATATAATAACATCATATAATTGATTTTAGCTAGTAGAATAATATTTGTTATTACTGTTGTTTATAAAAAGAGGGTAGTACTCCTTCTATCCCAAATAACAAAACACTTTTAAAAGAGATTTGATATATTAAAATATAAAATATTTTAATAAAAATAAAGTTTTATTAATGATTATACTTTTCTAATATTACCTTTCATATTATATTCACTTTTTAATATTCTTTCATAAATGAAATATTAAATATAAGATTTTTTAAAAGTTTATATTTTTATTTTTAAAAAATAAAATTGTAAATTATATTTAATGAGCTTTATCAATGAATATAATTTTTTTAAAAAGTATTTTATAATTTAAAACATATTGAGTATTCTTTAAAGCAAAGCAATGAGCATTGGTCTAAATGAATGAAATTATGGTCACTTAAATAAAAGATTTGGAGTTCGAATCTCTATGAATCTACAAAATATTTTTGGGAGAATTATCCGTCATTTTGGGGTTTGACTTGACTCGAATGTAAAACAAAAAAAGCCTAATATGACTTTACATGCCACATGGTTTGTTAGAAAAAAAAATATTATTCATACTTAATTTTTTTTATTTTCTCTTTTTTTCTAATATACTTCCTCTGTTCTTATATATAAAAAGTCTTTTAAAATTTGTTTTATCCCTAAATATAAAATGGTATTAGCATATTTTTTAATGAATGGATCATTATATCCTAATTAAATTAAAAGGAGAAAGAGATAAGTATACTTATTAATTTACTTTTTAAAAAAATTTATTTTTTATTTACAATAATTAGAGGCAAAATTGAAATATTGTTGTGCTTTTAATTAAATAACTAATTTTTATTGGTTTACATAATTTAGTTAAAAAATCTTATATATAAGAACAAAGGGAGTATACCGACAAAGTTTCCAATTTATAGAGTCGTATGGCACATAATAAATTTCTATCGTTCATCTTAGATGCAATGCAAAACTTTGAATGCATAAGGATTAATTTAATTGATAAGGGTTTAATCTCATAATCCAAAAAAACTGTTGCAATGTGAATAATTTATTGTAAAAAATTTTATAAACGTTGTTTGAAGTATGAGACTTGTTTTGATTTTAGTAATTATCTAACTCATCACTTTAGCTTTTATGCATATGTATAAAAGAAAAGTGTGCATACTGCTTCTTAGTATGTAACAAAAGAAAGTAGTTTACTTTTTTTTTTTTTTTTTTATCCTCTGGCACATTGTTTGACTTGTTAAATGAGGTTGTTTTCAAGAATCCTATGTCAAAAGACGTCAATATCAAGGCTTTAAACAAGAGAAAGAAAAGGGTAACCACTGTTCATACCCTCTACACTGAATTTTCACATTGAAGCAAAATTTTCAAGATTCATGAAACCAACCAAGCCAAAGGAATCCAATTTTTTCTTTTCACACCTCTGTTGACTAATTCTCATATTATATATGATATTATTAACATGTCTAAATGTGAGTTGCCATTTATTAAAAAATAGAGAGCGATCATCCAATAAAAGAAAGATGACAAATGAGCATGATTAACATAAAGATATCATATCTTAATTTAAAACCTTTAAACTCAAATAATTATCAAACCCAATTTTATTTGATATAAAATTTCTCAAATTAATTTAGATTCACTCATGTTTGGACAGTCTAACAAAAACAATACTTTAAAATGTATCAAAATACTGCATAATTCGTCCATTATATTGTGTTGTATGTCTTACATCTTACTCAGCGTTGGTGCTTTTCAAGTATTTACCCAAGAAGACAAAAAAGGCTGTTCTTTATTTTATTTTATTTTTTCATATTCTGTAAGGTGTGTATGTTTGAATTTTTTTATGTGGAGTAGCTTTCACAGATCCCACGTCGCACCACTAATCCAAATTCTTTATATAGAGCTGTAACTTGACAGCGCTCCCTCTTATTTTAATTATGAAATAAAATTTTAAAGCTTTATTTGGTTCTAGATACAGGATAAAGAGTATTTCTTTTTATCCAAAATATAAGCAATTTTTTTAGCTAATCTTGATTTAAAATATAAAAAGTTAATATTTGTAAAAAAAAATTCATTTTACTCATGATATTTATTAACTTGGATTATTGTGTTTAGTATGAATTTATGACCTTTTTTCACTCATTATAATTTGGGACTAAGGGTAAAGAAAGAAAAAACAATTTATATTTTCATGAGAATAAAGATTTTATTGATATGCAGATTATTGTTAAAATCTGCTTATATTTCAGACTAATTTTTTTAATTTCTAAACACACTTTATTGTGGTAATTAATTTCAATAAAAGATAAAATAAAATTGTAAAGTCACACATTTTTAAAAAATGTGAGGAAATTAATTAACTATTATTTATTAATTTATTAATAACAATGAAATTAATTAATTTGCCTTACTTGGTTGAAATAAAGTGGGAAAAAAGGGGGGATTAGGCCCTGCTTGGTTGGAAAGAAATTTTTTTTAATGAAATGGAGACATGTAAGGAAACAACATACTTGGTACATAACAACAATGTATTGAAAATTGGATCATTCATTAAATTATTTAAGGCATTAGTAAAAGAGTTAATGGTTAAAATTACAATTGAAATGTAATCAAATCAATCATAAACAAAATATTTTATTAAACTAGTTAAGACATTGGTTAATGGTTTATTGGTTCAACCAGACAAATTGATCCTGATTTCTATACTATGGTATTTAGTAACTTTTATGTATCTTTTTTTTAATAATTATTCCATATTTGATATTATCAACCAATGCAAATCTGAGTATATTGTCAAGTTAGGAATAGGTTAAAGTTTTCCTAGAGTGGCCATCTCTTCTTTGATTGTATGATTTCATGATTATAGAAAAATGTAAGTTGAAGCAATCGTAATAACATAAAATCTTAGCAATTTGTACTTTTTATAAGTAATAAACAGTGTGAATTATTCTTTAAACTTCCTATTATACATCACAAAATGATATAAAGAGAAGAAGTGGACTGTCTACACACGATTTCCGTCCACATCTTCTCACTTTTGTCTAAATGCATGATCACATAATCACAAAGAAAATATGATGCAGTGAGAGACTAAAACATAAGCATATGAATATCAAGACTTGCAATAAAGAGAAAGGAATGGCCAATTGGCTCAATGAAATGAATTTAGAGTGAAGACATGAGATGACAGCACATGAAAGGCAAGGCAAATAAGAAGAATCCAATTCTTGTTCCTCTGTAACTCTGTCACATGTGAACATTAAATACTTGTTTTGTCTTTCCTTCTTGCTTGCCACTTACAAACTACAAACACACATCTTCAATTTCTTGTCAATTCCGATCTATAAAGCTCCCTTCTTTGTCTTTATTAGTGAGGCTTAAAGTGAGTGCTTAGTATCTTAATTTAATACTACAAGAAAGCAGAACATTTCTCCAAAATGAAATGCATAAATGAAGAAGGGATTACAACTCAGCCCCACCAAACAACCTTATACAACCACCCCAAAACTAGCAATTTTTTATCCTGTTTTGCTTATACCCTCTGGATAATCATATGTTGAAGGGTAGTGGAATTACACACAAGAGCAAACACATTTTTGGCTCAATCACATGCCCATATAACAGCTACAAGATTATACATGTATATTTGGATTGGCTAGGCTCTGAGAGCTTACTAGCGTGAATGCAAGCTTCACAATGTAGTGAGCATAAGTCCAAAGAGAAATTCATATCCCAAAAGATTAGTTTGTTGAGAGGAAGAATCCCTTGAACTTATAAAATCCATTTTTCTTATGAGACTCTCCTTATATAAGATTCCTAACACACAACTCAGATAATATTTACAAAAAACCACTTATAGATTGTCCACTGATGAAGTCTTCATATTGGCATCAGTATTCAAACCAATGCTCTTGTGGAGAATGAGTTGTATCCAGTAACAAGTCCAAGAGTTACTGAATTGGTTTGGGGGGGGGGATTGAAAATAAAACATGAAGTGAGGAAGCCAAAATCCAATGTTTTTTAGAAGTAAACATTCTAATTTTTTCCAAAGAACTAATGAAGTGTCAAGCCTTGCCCTCTTCAAGATTCGTCCC